AAATTTAAACGTATACTGAATAGTAAGAACTTTTGCTAATCTTGTTAAATATGATACTAGGGTTATGATTATGTTTTTTAAAGTCTTTCTTAATCTACATTAAAAGATGTAGTTCCAGGAGCCAGTAGTTCACACCTGTAAATCCTAGCTACTCAGGAGGCTGAGATCTGAGGATCAAGGTTCAAAGCCAGCCCAAGCAGGAAAGCCCATGAGACTCTTATCTCCAATAAACCATTAGAAAACCAGAAGTGGTGCTGTGGCTCAAATGATAGAGCACTTGCCTTGAGCTGAAGAGCACAGGGATAGCACCCATGACCCACAAAAAAAAAAATCTTTTTTTAACTAGGTGAAACAAATGCAGTAACAAACCTAATTAGCTAGGCAAATGAAAATGTCATATATTCAAACAATGGAATATTACCAAGTAATAAAAAGGAATAAGAGAAGTAGTATATATTATAACATTTGAACATAACGCTAAGCCAACAACATCAATCACAAAAGACCATATAACATATGACTCCATTTATATGAAAGCTCTAGAAGAGAGAAACTTACAGAGGAAATCAAACTAAAATAATGAAGGAGGGGTTGGGAAAAATTAGGAAGTGACTGCTAATGGGTATAAGTTTCCTTTACAGGATGATTATAATCTTCTTCAATTTGACTGTGGAGATGGATGTATAAATCTGACAATACATTAAAAACATTCAGTTATAACCAGATATTGAAACATAAATCATATTGTATTAGTTTTGGGAGGCTAAAGAAAAGAGAATGAGAGTAAATATGGTCGAAGTAGTTTGTTTGCATGTATGAAAATTAAAAAATGAAAACTGTTGACATTATTTCTAGGAGGAAGAGTAGGAGAAGGAAAATTGATAAGAGTGAATGAGGTTGATTGGAATACATAGTATACATGTATGGAAATGCCACAATGAAACTCTCCTTGCAAACTGAGGTATGCTAATTTTTTTTTTTTTTTTGTCGGTCATGGGGCTTGAACTCTGGGCTTGGGCTCCTCAGCTCAAGGCAAGCGCTCTACCACTTGAGCCACAGCGCCACTTCCTAATTTTTTTAATGTATTAGTTTTCTATAAATGTTACCAAAAGATAATTGTGTGCCAGGCACTGGTGGCTCACACCTGTAATATTCAAGACGCTGAGATGGGAGTATCACAGTTCAAAGCGAGCATGGGCAGGAAACTGATAAGACGCAACCCACACACAATTAACACCAGAAAACCAGAAGTTGCACTGTGGCTATAAGTGATAAAGACTGCTGACCTTGAGCAGAAAAACTCAGGGAGAGTACCCAGGCCGAGTTCAAGCCCCACTACCAACAACAACAAAAAAAAAGGTAATTGTGTAAACAATATAAATTTATTATCTTATAGCTCTGTGGGTCAGAAATCTGATACAGGTTCTCAATGAGCTAAAATCAAAATAAAATACAAGGTTCTAAAGTGAAAGAAATCTGTTTCCTTGCCCCTCCTGATTTCAGGGGCGAAAAATGTAGGCCCACAGGCATTGTGAGGCCTACAAAATCATTTGGTTTGTAATAGGATATATATATATATATATATATACACACACACACATTACATTATATTCTTATCAGATGCCAGTGGCCCATCTGCCTGCACTGATAATTTTTTAGGGCCTATAATGACATTATAAATATCCAAATAGTCCTTGGCAGAAAAAGTTTCCTTCCCCAACTCCAAATCCAACCCCTTAAAGCTACTCATATTTCTTGGCTCATTCCCTTCTTCTTCCTTCACTGCCAGCCAGATATGACAGGCTGAGCTCTCTTCACTTCACCTCACAGCACATCACATCACATCACCTCACATCACATCACATGACTGACTTCTTCCCTCCCTTTCTTTCCCACTTTTAAGAATCCTTGTGATCACATTAGGCCCATCTAAATAATCCATGCTTATCTTCCTATTTTAAAATCACTGGTTAGCAATCTTAGCTCCACGTGTGACTCTAATTCCCTTTGTCATGTAACATATTCACGTATTATGAGAACTAGGACATGGACATCCTGGATGGATGTATTAATCAGCCAATCAGAATAGAACTGTTAAAAAAATTAATGTTTTAAGGCAGTGGTATTGGAGCAGTGGCAGGGTGGTTTCCTGGCTGAGAGTGGATGAGCTCTTGCATATCTTCTCCTTCCTGGAGGCACTGGATCTGCAGTACGATGCCACACAGGAGAACACAATAAGGTGTCCCATCTGGGCCCCGTGCTGGTGGGCCCATCTGTCTAAGCTTTGGTTTGGGAATCACTTTCTTTCTGGTTCCCATGCTTTTGCTCTACCAGTTCCCAGTGCTTGGCAAAGCACAGTCTTCCCAAGGCAGCTTCAGCATCTTATTCCGTGGGCCCAGGGATCTGTTGTATTCCCTCTCCCTGGTCCTTTCCTTTATGACTCTACTCCTGAAACACTTGTGGACAGAATTCACACCCTCTGCTATCCACTGAGCTATCACCCTGCATTCTAGTCCCTGGGCTCCTCCTCAAGGACTCTGTACAAATGTAATAATACTGGTGTAATTTTTTGTTATTTTTCTGCCAGACTCATTCTATGAGAGGAATCTTTGTCATCTCCATTGCTGTGTCTAGCACCCAATATATGCTTTGATAAGTAATGGCCCTCTATAAATACTTGTTGAATAGCTGAATTTCAAGGAACTTAAAACATGTACTTTAACAAAAAGATAATGAGCATCTTTATGTGAATGCCCATGTCTTTACATTGCAAATAATAATAAGAATAATACATTTTTAGCTGATTGTGAGTGGCTCACACCTGTAATCCTAGCTATTTAGAAGGCTGAGAATCTGAGAATCATGGTTCAAAGCCAGTCCATATATGAAAAGTCCATGAGATTCTTATCTCCAATAAATTACCAAAAAAGACAGAAAAACCAGAAGTGGAGCTATGGCTCAACGGGTACAATGCTAGCCTTGAACAAAAGCAGCTCAGGAGCAACATCCCAGCTCTGAGTTCAATCCCTAGTACCAACACCAAAAAAGAATAACAATATTTTTTTTTTTGGTCGGCCATGGGGCTTGAACTCTGGGCCTGGGCGCTGTCCTTCAGCTCTTCAGCTCAAGGCAAGCGCTCTACCACTTGAGCTACAGCGCCACTTCCGGTTTTCTGCTGATTTATTGGAGATAGGAGTCTCACGGTCTCTCCTGCCCGGGCTGGCTTTGAACCTCGATCCTCAGATCTCAGCC